GAGGAGGCGCCGCGCCAGAAGCCGCCGCAGAGGGAAAAAACCTTGGAGCCGGCCGCTGAGGAGGAGGAGGAGGGGGAGGGGGAAATGGAGCCTGTCAAAAAGTTCCTGGAGGACCCCGAGGCGTGCGCTGCGGCGAACCCGGTGGCTGCAGCGCCGGCGGCGGGCGGCGGCGGGCGGCGGCGAGAAGAAGGAGGAGAGGAAGGCCGCGGCCGTGGAGGAGCAGGACGAGGACGTGGTCTTCGACCTTTTCGGCTGAGCGCACCGCGGCGGCGGCGAGCGCGCGGGCGGCCCTTCTGGAGGCAGGCGTCTTGAATTCCTTTGAATCCGTAGCTCCGTATACACATATAACGGCGCACCGGGTCCGGGGGCCCGGGGCCGGGACCCCGACCACAAATGTGCGCCCCGGGGGGCCGGAGGCTCGTCGGGGCTTGCCGGAGGCCTCCCCAGTCAGACAAGACGGCCCAAGAAGCGCCCAAGACGGCCCAAGAAACTTCCAAGAGGCCTCCAAGACGGCTCCGAGATGCTGAAGATGGCCTCCAGACGTCCAAGGACGCCCCCAAGAGGCCCCAAGAAACCTCCAACATGCGTCCCAAGAGGGCCCCCAGACGCAAAAATTTGCCCATTCCCTTCGTAAAACGTACATTTTCAACAAAGTTGTCTTTTGGGTTTTCCGACGTTACAGGACGGCCCAAGAGGCGCCCAAGACCGCCCCAAGACGGCCCAAGAAGCTTCCCAGAGGGCCCCAGGACAGCCCAAGAGGGCCCCAAGACGGCCCAAGAGGCGCCCAAGATGGCCCAAGAGGGCCCCAAGACGGGCCCAAGAGGGGGCCCAGAGGGGGACCACGAACCGCAAGCTCGAGCCTTCCGCCCCAAGAGGCCGCCAGGAGGCCCCCAGGAGGCCCCTCAAGAGGCCCCAGGAGACCCCAGACGTCCAAGGACGCCCCCAAGAGGCTCCAAGAAGCCTCCAACATGCGTCCCAAGAGGGCCCCTAGACGCAAGAATTGGCCCATTCCCTTCGTAAAACGTACATTTTTAACAAAGTCGCCTTTTGGGCTTTCCGACGTTACAGGACGGCCCAAGAGGCGCCCAAGACCGCCCCAAGACGGCCCAAGAAGCTTCCCAGAGGGCCCCAGGACAGCCCAAGAGGGCCCCAAGACGGCCCAAGAGGCGCCCAAGATGGCCCAAGAGGGCCCCAAGACGGGCCCAAGAGGGGGCCCAGAGGGGGACCACGAACCGCAAGCTCGAGCCTTCCGCCCCAAGAGGCCGCCAGGAGGCCCCCAGGAGGCCCCTCAAGAGGCCCCAGGAGACCCCAGACGTCCAAGGACGCCCCCAAGAGGCCCCAAGAAGCCTCCAACATGCGTCCCAAGAGGGCCCCTAGACGCAAAAATTTGCCCATTCCCTTCGTAAAACGTACATTTTCAACAAAGTTGTCTTTTGGGCTTTCCGACGTTACAGGACGGCCCAAGAGGCGCCCAAGACCGCCCCAAGACGGCCCAAGAAGCTTCCAAGAGGGCCCCAGGACAGCCCAAGAGGGCCCCAAGACGGCCCAAGAGGCGCCCAAGATGGCCCAAGAGGGCCCCAAGACGGGCCCAAGAGGGGGCCCAGAGGGGGACCACGAACCGCAAGCTCGAGCCTTCCGCCCCAAGAGGCCGCCAGGAGGCCCCCAGGAGGCCCCTCAAGAGGCCCCAGGAGACCCCAGACGTCCAAGGACGCCCCCACGACGCTTCGCGTCACCAATTTCTTCTCACAACGATTCCTGGGTCTGTGACTCGACAGAACCTAAGCGCGCGCGAAGCGCGCGCGTGGTTCTAGTTCCATCAGCTACAAAGTTGTCACCAGCGCGTGCGATAAAAGCGGGCGTGGTATGCAGGTGCTGCTGTTGCTCAGCGACCTGACGGGCTCGATTTGGTAGCTGAGCGGCAGATTCTTCTCAGAGCCCCAGGTGCATCCCGAGACGGCCCCAAGAGGATCGGGTCGGGCGAAAGGGAGGGTTTGGGAAAGGGGGGGTTACGAAATCTGCTGCATGCGGCTGGTTTCGGCTCCGCCGCGGGGCCCATTCCTCGATACATGGGCGCCTCCCGGCGCCGGGAGGCGCCGGGAAAATCAGCTACGTGAGCTGATTCTCACCCCCCCCCTTTGCTATCCCCCCCCTTTCGCCCGACCCGAGAGGAGCGCCCCCAGAGTGCCCCAAGAGGTCTCCCAACGGATGCTCCAACGCACCTTCCTGTTGCAGCATCCGTCGGATGCTTTCTGGTGGCCCTCTTGGGGCCGTCGTCGGGCCCCCTCTGGCCCTTCTTGGGGCAATCGAGGTCTTCCGGGTGCCCCCAGAACCTCCCGCAAAGGCTGCAGCTGCAGCTCAGGGACAGCCCTACGACGGCCCCCAAGAGGCGCTTAAGACGACCCAAGATGACCCAGAGATGGCCCCGCCGCGTTCCCCCGCCAGGGCACCTGCGGATTTGCTCCACGAGTGCACACACTAGTCAGCTACAACGCCGCAGTCAGTGCGTGCGAGAAATGCGGACAGTGGCAGGAGGCGCTGTCCCTGCTGCGTGGTCTCTGGGAGGTGCAGCTGGAGCCGGACGTCGTCAGCTACACCGCCGGGATCAGCGCCTGTGGGGCTGGCACTCAGTGGCAGCTGGCTTTGTCGCTGCTCGCCGAGCTGCGGGAGGCGAAGTTGGAGCCCAATATCATGAGCTGCAGTGCTGGAATCTCCGCGTGCGCGCTGGACGGCCAGTGGCAGTTGGCGTTGTCGCTGCTGCGTGGAATTAGAGAAGCGAGGCTCGAGGCGACCACAGTTTGTTACAATGCTGCCCTCGGCGTTTGCAGGCATGGTCCTTGGCAACAGGTGCTGTCGCTGTTGAGCGAGATGCGAGCATCGAGTTTGAAGCCAGGCACCATAGCTTACAATACTGCGGCCTTGGGGTGCAATATGAGTGATCAGTGGCTGCGTGCGCTGTCGTTGCTCGGCGAGCTGCTCGATGCGTCGATGGAGCCGAGTCCAGTCACTTATCGTACTGGGATTGGAGCATGCCAGAAGGGCGCGCGGTGGCAGCAGGCATTGATGCTGTTCCATCAGTGCTTGCAGGACACGTTTGAAGTCAGTTCCGTCGACTACAATATCTTAAGCGGTGCATGCGAAGAGAGTGGGCAGTGGCAACTGGCATTATGGCTGCTCGGCGAGATGCGAATGAAGGAGCTGGAGATGGACATCATCAGCTGCGATGTTGGGATCAGTTCGTGCGAGAAGGGTGGCAATCGCTGGCAAGCATTATCGTTCATCAGCGAACTGGTGTCACGCGTGTCCTCACGGATTTTTCATTCGATGTGATGTCTGCTGCGGCTGCATTGAATATTCCGGATCGTTTTTTTTGTTGCTCTCTCTCTTTCTCTCTTTTTTCCCTTTCTTTCTCTATATGTGTCTTTATATGTTGATCGAAGACGCCTACGGCGATGACAGCCCCCCTTTTTGAAGCGCCTCTTTGGCCGAACGTTGCGGCCAGAGCTCGGCCAAGCTAGCGGACTACATGCCGCCCCCCCAGCAGGAGGAGGAGGAGGAAGAGGAACAGTGTAAACCCAAGACTCATCAACGATGTTGCAATAAACCCTCCCTCTGAGTTCCCTGTGCACAGGCTCTTATAAGGATTTACTTACATTGCTGGAAGGGCCCCGTTGGAAGACAACTGTTCGAACATCTTCAACCGCGCCAGAAAAAATCCTGAGACTTCGACGCCGCGAAACAACGCCACTGTTGCGACCTGACGATCCTTTTTATCGTGCCAGAACATCGCTGCTGAGACGTCAACACGGCGAATCCACGTGATTGTCGTGTTCTGACAATCCTAAATCGCGACAAAACGCCTGTTCTGGGAAGTCATCCATCCGAGTTTTTGAAATTGTTGTAGACTGTTAAGACGATTGTTCGCGGTGCGAAAGCGAGAGCCACATTTCGAAACAGACCTGCCCTCTATCCATGAGGCTCCTGCGTTTTCTTAAAACGAATGTGCGCGGCGCTGAGGCGAGAGCTACATATTGAAAAGGAACTGCCCTCCATCCGAGCAGCTCTGGCACACTTTTACGACGAATGTGCGCGGCGCAAAGGCGAGATCCACATGTTGAAAACCAACCGCCCTCCGTCAGTGAAGCTGCGACACATGTCAAGCTTTATGGTCATACGTGGTGATGAAGTCTTCGGCGAAACGCCCGGTCTGCCCTACCGACCCGTCTCAGGCTTCGACAGGGAGGAGTTATCCAAGAGGAGGAGGCCTCTTGGGAGCCTCTTCCGGCACTCTTTGGGCCTCCTGGGAGCTTCCTGGGGGCCTTGGGGGTGGGCCTCTTGGGGCCTTTGGAGGCTCCTCGGGAGGCTCTTTGGCCGTCCGAGGGCGTTCTTGGCTCGTCTGATGCCGTCGGATACCTTCCAGGGGGCCTTTCTGGGCCAAGTTGGGGCCCTCCACGGGCGCTTCAGGGCCATCTTGGGCGTCCTCCTTGGGCTTCTGTGGGGCCTCGTCGATAGTCTTAGAGTGTTCCTGGCCCGCCTGACGACGTCGGAAGTCGTCTTGTAGGCCTCTCTGAACGGACTTGGTACCCTCGTGTAGCGCTTCAGGGCCGACCTGGAAGCCATTTTAGGCGCTTCGGAGGCCGCTTTCTTTAGGCCGTCTTGGGGGCCTCTGGGGCCGTAATAAGGGCCATCTCGGAGGCCTCTTGGGCGCTCTTGGGGCCACTGTGGTGGCCTCTTGGGTCGTCGTGGGCGGTCAAAAGGCCCAAATCCGGCAAACAGAACAATCTTTAGGCAATGCCTCTTGGAGGCCGTTTTGGGTCGTCTTGGAAGTTTCTTGGGGCCGTCTTGGGCCATCTGGCAGCCATTGGGCCGTCTTGATGGCTTCTTGAGCGGACTTGGACCACTTGGAGACAACTTGTACCCTCTTGTGATTTCTTTGAGGCCATCTTGGATTATCTTGAGCGAACATCGAGGCCATTTAGGGCTTGCGAGACCTCTGACCTGGAGGTTTTCCGGGTGAGTTCTTGAGACAAAGGATCACAAAATTTTTCAGAAGTTCATCACGTCGTGCACTCCTGTGATGAATCACCAGGGGGAGGCGGATCGAGGACGCCCACGGCGAATCACCGCCGCCCCCTCCAATTTGGAATCGACCATCTGGCCGAACGTTACGGCCAGAGCTCTGCCAAGCTATCCGACCATGTGCCGTTGTGGAAGCCCTTCGGGGAATACGCGAGGGAGAAAGAGGCAGCGGAGGAGAGGGAGGACAATAGAGATGATGATGATGATGATGATGATGATGATGATGATGATGATGATGATGATGATGATGATGATGATGATGATGATGATGATGATGATGATGATGATGAGGATGATGGATGAGGATGAGATGAGGATGAGGATGAGGATGAGGATGATGATGATGATCATGATGATGATGATGATGATGATGATGATGATGATGATGCTGATGCTGATGCTGATGCTGATGCTGATGATGATGATGATGATGATGATGATGATGATGATGATGATGATGATGATGATGATGATGATGATGATGATGATGATGATGATGATGATGATGATGATGATGATGATGATGATGATGATGATGATGATGATGATGATGATGATGATGATGATGATGATGATGATGAGGAGGAGGAGGAGGAGGAGGAGAGGAGGAAGGAGGAGGAGAGAGTTGGAGGAGGAGGATTAGGAGGAGACGAGGAGGAGCAGGGAGGAGGAGGAGGAGGAGGAGGAGGAGGAGGAGGAAGAGGAGGCGAAGGAGGCTGAGGAGGAGGAGGAGGGCTCTTGGGGCCTTCTAGGAGCTTCTTGTGGGCCTCTCGGCCACCAGCCTTTTGGAATCATCCATGTTGCCGAACGTTGTGGCCAGAGCTCTGTCAAGCTATCCGACCATGTGTTTCCCCAGCCGTTGTGGAAACCCTTCGGAGAACACGCGGGGGAGAAAGAAGAAGCAGCAGCAGAGGAGAGGGAGGACAACAAGAGAGGAGGATGAGGAGGAGGAGAAGGAGGAGGCGAAGGTTGAGGAGGAGGAGGAGGAGGAGGAAGACCAGTGTAAACCCAAGAGTTATCAACGATGTTGGAGTAAACCCTCCCGAGCTCCCTCTTCATAGGCTCCTACAACTGTTACTTTCCACTGAGGGAACTGCCTCGTTGGAAGACAACTGTTTGAAGACCTTGACGCATCCATAACATCGTTCTCGGGATTCCAACGGCACCGATCAACTTGACTGTTGCGTCCTTACGATCCTGAATCGTGGCAGAATGCCTGTCCTGGGACTTCAACACCGCGAGCCAACGTAACTGTTGCACCCTCATAATCCTGACTCTGTCCGAAACACCGTCTCTGGTACGCTGATCATGGGAACCCGATCGATTTTTGTACATTTCTAAGCGAATCTGCGCGGCGCTAACGCGAGAACCACATTATGAAAAAGGAACCGCCCTCAATCCGTGAAGCTCTTGCCAACGTGCAGAACGAATGTACGCGGCGCTAAGGCGAGAGCCACATTTTGAAAACCACCCGCCCTCAATCCGTGAAACTCCTGCAAGTTTTTGAAGCGAATGTGCGCGGCGCGGAGGCGAGAGCCACATATTGTAAAGGAGCCGCCCTCAAGCCGTGAAACCCATGTATTTTTTAAAACGAATGCGCGCGGCGCAAAGGCGAGAGCCACATTTTGAAAACCATCCGCCCTCAATCCGTGAAGCTCCTATACATTTGAATACGACTGTGCGCGGCGCTAAGGCGAAAGCCACACTTTGAAAGCCACCCGCCCTCTAGCTGTAAAGCCGTAGCCAATTCTCAAGCTGCAGAGTCATATATGGTGAGGAAGTCTCATGCGGAACGCCTGGCCCGCCCTAACAACTGGCCTCGGGGTGCGACAGGGAGAAGTTATTTATAAGGAAAAGGAATGCAGGAGGACTCATGGGACCTTCTGGGAGCTTCTTGTGGGCGCTTCGGAGGCCTCTTGGAAGCCTCCTTGGGCTGGGCCTCTTGGGTGCCTTTTTGCGGCTTCTTGGGGGCCTCTTTAGCCGTCTTAGGGCGTTCTTGGCCCGTCTGACGCCGTCGGAAGCCGTTTTGGGGCCTCTCTGGACTTGGGGCCCTCTTGGGGCGCGTCAAGGCCATCTTGGAGGCCACCATAGGCGTTTTGGAGGCCTCTTCGGGCCGTCTTGGGGCCCTTTTGCGGCTGTCTTGGAGGTTTCTTGGGCTGTCATGGGGTCAGCTTTGAGGCCCGTCTTGGGCCGGGGCAGTCGGAAGGCCGAAAAGAAGCAAAGGGCAAAAACCGTCAAAAACCCACCTATAATCAATGATTTTTGCCTCTTCGGGCCCTCCTGGAGGACCTCGTGGAGCTCTCTTGAGCCGTCTTGAGGCCATCTTGGGCCGTCTTGGGTGCATCCGAGGGCCATCTTGGGCTCTCTCGGCGCCACTTTTGGCCGTCCTGGAGGCATCTTGGAGGCCGTCTTGGGCCATCTCGGCCGTCTTGGGAGGCATCTTGGAGTCCATTCTGGGCCATCTTGGGTGGGAACGGCATTGGCATGCACATTTTCCGGGTGGCCGGCGCGCCGGGCCGAAGCCCCAGGGGGAGTTCTTTTGGAAAAGAACCCCTCCTCCTCCTCCTCCTCCTCCTCCTCCTCCTCCTCCTCCTCCTCCTCTCCCTCCTCCCAGCCGTATAGGATTCGGCACGCCAGGCACCCCTGTGGCAGGCCAGCAGGATCCCGCCACCATGCCAGGGTTGCAGGTCAGAGGCCTCTTAGCTGCCCGTGGGGATCTCCTGGGAGGCCTCTCGGAAGCTCTCGGAGGCGGTTTCGGGGAGTCTCTGGGGCCTCTTGGAGGCCTGTTGGGGGCCTGCTGTTGGTCTCGGAGATCCTGCTGGTGGTCTCCGAGGTCGTCTTGGGGCGGAGAGCTCGAAGTGTCGTTTCGTGTTTCCCCCCCCCCGGGGGATTTTGGGGTCATCTTGGGCCGTCTGGGGGGCCTTGTGGGCTGTCTTGGGGCCTTCTTGGGGACCTCGGGCCGTCTTGCAGCGTCGGAAGCTGGAAAAAGGCGAGGTCGCTGAGATTCTGTCCCCCTCTGAGGCAAGTTATGCATGTTTCCCCATGTTCTAAGACGGGGTTCTTGTTACCCAAATCCTAAGCATGGGGTTATTGTCAGTGGTATGATGCCTCCGCCTCACTTCTCCTCCTCCTCCTCCTCCTCCTTCTACCTCCCTACTCATACTCAGGCTCACTCACACTCAGATCCACTGATCTTCAGACTCGCTCGTACTCAGGCTCACTTGTTCACTGACCGCTCTCACTCAGATCCACTCATACTTTGTCACGTTGTTGTCATGTTTATACACATGTCACTCACAGCCTGAGTATTTACATTCAGATTCACGCGTACTCAGGCTCTCGCTCAGACCTACCGACATTCCGTCACT